GAGAGAGAGAGAGAGAGAGAGAGAGAGAGAGAGAGAGAGAGAGAGAGAGAGAGAGAGAGATTCTTCTGATTTGGATTGTGTGTGTGTGTGTGAGAGAGAGAGAGAGAGAGAGAGAGAGAGAGAGAGAGAGAGAGAGAGTAATGGGGAGGAGGTGGAACTCCCGTTATGCCACTTGGCGGATTTGGAGAGAGAGAGATCTCTGAAGTGACTGAGAAGGGCTGTAAAGTTTCCCCGGTCCGTTCACGATCGTGAGGCTTGGTGTGCGGCTCCGATTTCACAAGTGGTGGTATTGAATGGGATTGAATGAAGTTGGAAAACTGCATATATGATTATGAAATTTCTGGTTCAAAAAACTCTATCGGCAGAAAAAATGGTCACAGAACCTACATTCTCCTTTTTCACCTCCTCCTTCTCCTCTTCCTCCGCCTCCTCATCCCTCCTGCAGAATGACCTAAGGCCAGAACTCAAGTATTGTAAAAGAGGAGAAATCGGTAAATCAGCTAAACGTAGACAGAAAGCTTCCCTTTCCTCTCGGCACATGATCTAAAAGTGGTTGGACCTGCATCTGGTCAAACATTGGCTGAACGATACAGGAAATGAGACAGTGCCTCTGGACACGTGGCACGTGACGACAAGAGAGTGGGGGCGCGGGCTGTAAGGAATTGTAATTACAACCAGGTGCACCGTCTTGATTGTTATGGATGGTCTGTTAAAGAGGAGGGAATAAACGGACGTCTTTGGCTGATTAGTTGATGAATGGAGCACCCAATCTATCCATCTGTTGATTGATTATGTGGATTGATGAGTGCTGAGTCACGTTTTCGACCTGGCCGTTGATAATGACAACTGATGGATGATTGAACGATCGATCGATGGATTGATTGGCATGCTATTGATTGGTGTTGGTTGATTGATTGATTCTCCGATTGATGAAACGTTCACTTTGATTGCTTGGTTGATTGCTTGGTTGATTGATTGATTGATTGATTGATTGATTGATTGGTTGATTGATTGGTCGATTAATATCGATTGAGATGTTCATCCACGTTCAGTTAAACCGCTATACTAGTAATACATGGCCCCTGCCTTGCAGAAACGAAGCTCATCCCCTACACCGAAAATTTCCGGGCCCGGGCCATCGTTGATAAATCTATTCAACGGCCTTTGTCGGGTTTCAGGCGTCGGCAAATCGCGCCGAGGGACCCGCGGCCGATGTATGGGCCACGTAATGGTGGTTTAAGGGGGGTGTGGATGGGGACAGGGTCTGTCTCTTATACACATCTAGATGTGTATAAGAGACAGGCGCAGTGGGGTTGGAATTCCTTTCCGGTC